TTTCGATCTACTACATTAACATGAACGACGCCATTTTGACAAGATTTGTTTAGCGATGTCAGCATGTTGGCACGCGAAGTTTTTTCCCTATTAAAACGAGAAAATGAACATAATTCTCGATATTAATCTTTGAATTGCAGGAACTGGATGTTTATGAGTTGGTAGGCTGGTTGTGATGCGTATCAGGGTTCAAAAAACCCAAATTTCATAGTGATAATTTTGTTTACATGTTTGTTTACATTGTGGTTGCCCGAATTCGAAGTCAAAGTGAAGTCAGACAATGAGGTATCGCTTTGCATGACGGTAAATTTTGAAGGTATTGTAATCTGTCTGACTTCCTGACTCCCTCCGCCCGCGTGTGAACGGTTTGTTTACCCTCACTGCGGTTCGAGACAAAAGAACGCTAGTCGTTTCCAGACCGAAGATAGAGGGACTGTGTTTTAGCCATACAGAAATGGAAGGTTGTGATCAATAAAGTTAATAATGTGTGCATTATTACATTCAAGGCTTTTAATAAGGTGATGTGTTAACACATTTCAGCACTATATAATTTATTTAAATCAACCAAAGCAAACATTTTTACGTCAAAATGTGTGGTAAAATTATAACACAAAGACAATCCATCATATAAGGTTGAAAATCATGTCACTAGGTGGCGCTATAATCAGTGGTTGGGTACATTTACCAGAGGCTTTCAGCACTCGGAAATAGGTTCATTATAGGCCGTCATCCTTGTTTAGGTTTTGTATGCTTTTGCATGCTGTTTGGCACAAATGTAAATAAATTACCTCACACGGCACATATTCTTACCGTGCAGTGGTGGGAAAATAACCCAATCCACTATTCGTATTACAGTGGTAAAAATAACAGAACTGAATTCACAATTCAAAATATTATAGCAAGCACAGGTAGTGCATGTGTGTATATATAGAGTTTGAAATCGTTGCACTTCCAGTCAATGGTCAGTGCCTTTTTGTTTGTTGCAGGGCAGCTCATTATGATAAAGCATCTTCAAAATGTTGTTCAAGATAAGGCAATCAAATTCTGGCAACGTACTGATAGTTCAATTTTGAATAGTGTTTCAGCTAGGTCATTTTGATCAGCAGCAACACATGAATCGTGTGTGGTACGATATTAAATTCCACTTGAACTTGCGTGTGAACTAATAACTAAACTTACACAGTGTGCACACATCATTGTTCTACGATTCTGTCAGTTCTAAACTACTCGGCTACACTTTTTTGCTAGGCATTACTTGCTACATATTATATAATATGATTGTTGGTTGCCATGCACGTGTGCATCACATTTAATGACAATTTCGGAATAAAAATAAAAATTGCGGTTTATGCATGTGAATTTAAGAATTGGCCAATTTTTTTTTTACCTGAAAGACTTTATGCACACTTATTTTTAGACAGCTGTAAATGTTTTTGTTTATTTTAAAAGATGGATCACCATTCGACCAATCACAATGTATTACTGTATGAATATTGGTGATATAGAATTGTTAATAATCACTCTGACCTTTGACTTGGCAATTTCATTGCTGCTAGAAAAATTATACAATAAACACAAAACACTGCACAGACTGTAACGATGATACAACATGTAATTCTTGTCAAAACTGTATTAACATCTCTCATAAAATCGCACATAAATCATAAATTGCATTTATTTTATGCTAGATTATTAAAATATGGCTTAGTTTGACTATAAGCACATCTGCTGTACTGTAAACTGTTTAATTTTCAATGCTAGAAATTATTGCAATATCAAGATTTTAATGCTACAAAATTTCCTAATTTTGACTGACTCGTGAAATTTGTGAAAATTTATCTCTTGTCAAATTAAAATGTAATATGGTACTCAAATGATAGTTCTGCAAATAATTAATTGGAAGTATTTTGAATAAACTTCAATCAAACATGATTGTGTGCAAGACTAATAGGCGTGAATCTTTTGATTTGAATGTAACATGTCTTTCAAACCAAACCAAACACACCTTAAAAACAATTGTACTTTAGCTCAGAAAAAGACAATAATAAAACATTTTTTGTTTTATTTTGGCAGTGAATTTCTCTCTGGATTTCACAAACGTAAGGAAGAAAGAAGGAAGAAAGCTCGAGATGATGCAGAAAGAAAATTGAAAGAGGCCAAAAGGAAAGAAAGAGAAGAAAGGAGGAAAATACTCAAACAGAAATTGCATCGATATCAGAATTCTGCGTCTTTTCATGGTAAGTGAGTATTGGTTATGATTGAGTCTGAAAATTGTCCACAAGAGATTAATGAGGGCATAACTTATAGTGATTAGATTCAATATAATTGAATGCGTTAAGCTATTTAGTTTTATACTGCGTTACAGTGCGCCCTCTAACAGAACTGATCTTGAAATGATCTAGAGTCAAAATAGACTCCCATTAATCAAAAACTGAGTCAGATATTTGACTGTTTTGGAAAGTGTCAATCAAGATTTTATGTTGTTGTTTGTGAATTCTGATGGTGCAAAATGTTGTGGCTTCTGATTTCTTTTGCTTTTAAAAAAATAACTGTTTGATTTTCTGTTGCATCATTGACGTGACAAAGAATGGGTATACAGGTAACTAGTTGCATCATAAAATAATCTCTGGGTTATTGTCAAATCATATCAGACTTAGAGGGCACCCTGGTTTAAAATATGTTACCAGTATCAATTCTTGAATTTGTGTTTTTTTTTTCATTTTTTTTTCATAATTCCATCAGCACTTGATGGTTTACTGAATCCTGAACCCACTATGTATGACCACCCAGAGCACACAGTTACCGTGACAACTATCACAGATGTGAATCTGGATGAAAATTTCATAGGTTCAAATGAGGTAAGACAAGAAGTTGTCATGGTGATGCTTAGAGTTTTTTTTGCCTATAATCATAATGTGTTGGGTTAGTAGTCTATCAGAAAGAGAGCACAACTCAAACGAATTTTAAAATCAAAATTTAACAATAAAATCATTACTGCAATTTAATATGCACATGCAATTTTTTTTATGTACAAAAAGTTAGCTTCAAATTCAGATCCCAAACTGATTGAAATCTGATGTTGGTATAGGCTCAAAGTTTTTAGGTTTTACTCATCCTAAATAAAAAAATTTATATAAAAATTGGGCCTGTACCTGCAGTGGCTTTTAATCAGATTGATTCAGATCCCAGCCCCAAATGCAATTTACTGTCCCAGATTCTAGTCTCAAATTCCATCTTTAGATTCCAGTCAGATGCAGAATTGCTTTATGGGAAATGCGAGTAACATCGCTCTCTGAATTCGCTGCTGCAAACTCAATTCCAGTCTCAAATGCAGATTCTGCCTTCATATTCCAAATTCTAACTCGTATCCAGATCCAGATAGGAGCTTGCCCTCAGATTCTGATCCAGATCACATTTCCCGGCCTCAGATTCAGGTCATGTCTTCATTGTAACAATTGTATTACACTAAAAGTAGCTTTCAATCTTTTTCTAGCAACTTTAACTGTTAAATTATGTTGTTAAATTGCGATGATACATGAATAGCCACCTCAACCATACCGACTTAATTACTCTTGACACCTTACTACTGTGTTAGGTTGATTATGTGAAAGATGAAGAGAAAAATGGAGATGAAGCAGAAACCACAGAAGACAAACACAAAAAGTGAGTTATAATTTTTGTATCTAGCGACAACTCTAGAAATTGACTAGTTCATTAACTAAACTCGTCTACAAAAAAAGTCATCCATTGTTATCCAAAAAACAAAGGTTACTGATTGGTTTCATTCATCTGTCGTTGAATTTTATTAATTTCATGAGTGGCAAATTTTTGTTTATTTCACAAGTCAGGACAAATCTTAAAATTTTGTAGCAGTGAGGTCCTTAAATATATAATATGGGACCTGTAGAAATGTACAGTGTAAAATGCATTTATTTTTGAATTTGAATGCATGCTACGTGATGAACATTCTTTTTACATGAAGTCTCTTTACACGCAGATCAAAATTAACACAGATGAGCAAGAAGAAGAAGCGCATTAGATTTATGCAGTTGAAAAAGATTAACAAAAATAAATCCAAGAAAAAAGGACAGGCTGGACGGGAAAGAAAGAAAAAAAAGAAAAAGTGAATTTATGAAGATATCAATAAAATATGTTTGTTTCAACAAAGTAAAAAGTTCATCTGTCTCTGGTTGCTATCATCAACTTTCTTGGAACACATACTAATAATGTAGTTCATGAATAACACAACATAATACAATTTGGTAAGATGCACCGTTTACATGTGGCCATACTTTCCCTTTCCAGGAATACTGCCCTCTGTGGTAAGGTGATTGTTACTATACCGCCCTCTGTGGTGATACATGTATGTATTGTACAAATGAACTAAACTATTAAATCTGATGTAGGTTATGTTTAATTGGCAGTAATCGTTAATTTTTTTTTAGTGACTTGGAGACTACACTGTAGAACTATTAATTCTGCTATTTGTTGTCCAGTTGGATGAAATCTGTAAACATGGATTTGCAAATTATCCCCTGTGCATCTATCCCCAACTGCACATACATCATTCAAGATTGTCGGCCATTTTAAAAATGTCATTCTGTAACTGTATCTCAGTCATGACTAAATAAAAATGGCTGACTGGAGACTTACTTCAACAACTGTTCATGCATTTCACTTTGTTTAACAGATCAGATCGAAATAGCTGATAGGTGGCCATTTTTAGTCCCCGTTCGGATGCAGTCCGAAAACGGGGACTTATGTTTTGACCTCAGTGCGTCTGTCCGTGCAATCGGACCTGTATCTTAGAAATGCCTGGACCAATCACAATCAAATTTCACACATACATACATGATTATACATATGCACATGAATTTGATTCAAGATGGTCGAATGGTGGCCATTTTTGTTCTAACAATCATCAAAATCAAGCATTTCTTGGCTGTTTACAGATGGATGTTGCTCAAACTTGGTACATACATTAGACATTACGGGTTCCTGATGCACGTTATTTTATTTTTTAGATCAGATTCAGAGTGGCTGACTAGTGGCCATTTTGTTTTAATGAATGGGATTCTAGAGCCATATCTCTGACATGCTTTGACTGACTATGTTCAAATTTTATATATTCATTATACATGTACATGGCCGATTTGTTTTTAATTAATGCTGTTCCAGAGCAATATCTCTCAATACTCGTTTGACGATCAGATACAAATGTCAATCATTTTAATGTTAAACAATAATAATATTCCTGACATGGTTATATTCCAGCTATATTACAATAAACAAAACTATATTTTTCAAATTTGATAACTAACGGGACTGTGCCATGCATGGCTTGTATATTTTAAAATTGGTGGTTTGGTGATAATTCAGCCACTTTATTCAATCACTGACAAATGAACATCGAATTAACAAAAATATAGGTTCTATAAATATTTTTCTTTATTTTGATAAACAACTTTATACGGCAGTGTAATTTCACATTGTGCGAAAGAATGAAGTACTGATCGGTCAAGCTACTGGTACATACATAAAACCTGCAGGTAAAATTCTTCAGAAATTGAGAACAGGGCATAATTAAGAAATATTTGATTTTACATCATGTACGATCATAATACAAGAAAATGTGGACATAATGTGGACATCCACCGTGATGTGACCACTGACTATCATATACCAGGTGACCATCATGGACGTCTTTTCATTCAATAATCTCCATACTATCCTTTAGAGATTCATCACATTAATTCACTAACATCATAGATTTCTATGAAAACTAATATAGAATTTAAGCATATTAATTCAGAGCCCCTATGCCCCTAACAATAAATATGTGCTCCAATGAATATCCATCTCCAGTACCCAATCAATGCATGTATACCTTCTGTGCCCCAAACAATGAATATCTCCTGCATTACATAACAGCAGCAACTGAAAAGACTGAATCCTTTACAAGTTTAAGAACAAAAATGTCTTCCATACATTGGCAAGAAACAATTCTTGTCATAGAGGGCAGTCTTGCCAAGAATAATGGACATCAAAATTTTAAATAACATGATTTGATAATTCTTACAACCTTGATTTGACATTCATCGTATCAGGTAAAAGTTGACACGAGTGGAACATTAAAAGCTGGAGGATGGTGAAAAACTATGCAAAATATATTTTTTTCAATGATGAATTTGTAATGTGTGTAATATTTTTTCCACAAAAACGAACATGCAGAATTTATTTTTTCTGTTATTGAACGCTGAAAAATATCTTTTTCCTCTCCACTTTGTGTTAGTTTCTGCCATCACCTGGTGTTTCTAACAGTCCACCTCTTATCCGCGTACACACAATTGACAGAAGAATTTTCCAGTTTTGCCCTGTCACTGTTCTTTAATTTTTCAAATCAAAATGGCCTCCAGACCAGGACTTGATGAATTCCACCTTTCTCTCAATATCAAAAATTTGTAGTTCTTTCAAATCAGCGCACTAATAATATTGACCAATCATTTCCAGTATTTATTTCAAACTATGAAGTTCCACAATTAATACTGCAATCCTATTGGTTGAATCTCTCTGGTAAAATTTCTTGTGTTTTGAAAAAAAAAAAAGGGGAAAATGTGCCTGCCATTGAAGATGCATCACCTTGTAAACGTATGCACAGATCACATTTGCTTTATAATGGATCATTTATTATAAATATTATTTTTACCATAGGAACACTCCTGTAACATTGTAATTTACTGCCTACTACCTGCCAGTCATACCTGGCATACTTACAACCTATCACCTGAGAGTCAGTCCAGCACCTCCCTTTATTGTCAGGATTCACTTAGGGATGTCACTGGCTATGGTTTTTTAAAAAAAAAACGATTTTGGTCCTGAGATATTTAAAAAAAAAAAGTGTTGTGTTGGCATGCGAGTTTTTGTTCAGTTTCACAATAATTTGACAGAAGCCAGAAAAGAAATTGTGACCAGCCCCCCTTTTGAACTGAGAAGCACGCTGATCAAAAAAATTTGTTTGTTTGGCCCAATAGAAGAAATACAAACTATCTAAGAGAACACATTATGCATAGTATTTACATCGACCGCTATACAACTCCACTGCCTGATTGTAGACTGACAAATGGCAAGACTGTCAACACACATACTTGGATGAAGAGAAGTTTATAAAGAAAATACACGAATATAAAATCATTTCTTTTTCTGTTTCTTTTTTCTTGGCTTATTGTCTTCTTCAGTTTTCCGTTTCTTCTTTGTTTCCTCTAGGAGACTACAGTCTATCTGACTTGCTACTACATGCGTCCATAGCGACAGCTCAACACTATGTGGATTCCATCTTGTTTCTGGGTCTGAGATAATAAAACAAGTTTAGTTGGAATCGGCCAAGTCATCTGAAAAAACGAACGAACACACAAGCACACACATGTATACACGCACAAATACAGAACCCAAATTAATAGTTCACTATCTACATGTATTAATATACTATAGCACAAATGAAAATCATGATCACATGAGCTTTAGTTTTATGCAATCCCTCACTGGAAACTCAACAAGACTGGTAGGCAATGTTTTCAGCTGTTTCCATGGTAGGACATGAACGTGAAGCAAATGTTGGTTTTAAACTAAAACCGGGACCCTGCATACAAAGTTTGCAACGAGCATTCAGTCTTCAGAAGTCCATTCACTTTATTACTGGCACATATTTTGCTGTTATAATTATTATTTTTGACCGTTTTGTGATTGTATTTCCTAGATTCTTTGATTGAACGCAGCATTTACAGTTCATTCTAATTTCAAAGTTGCGTTTGGACTTATGTTGATTTCATCATTCATCATTTTTTCTGGATGTTGCTATGGCAACGGTGGGCCAAAATTTTACAACTCAGCGAGTGACAGTTTGCCAAATATGAACAAAAAATAACAAAAGAGTTAAAATGCCATTACTACTGAAAAGTTATCCCAAATTTGGGGTAAAATTTCTTGATAATGAAAAAAGATATAAAAAAAAACAGTAACTTTGTGCCCCGATTCAAGCTGAGTAGAATGAGCTATGTCCGAGATTTTTAATCCTAGATTTGTAGGAGGAGATACATTTGGTGCGAAGCTATCGAAAAAACAGTTTTTTGTCTGTTGCCATGCCAATGGTGGGCAAGAAATTTTTTCAGATTTGACCATTGTCTGGAGTGAAGGTGTGACCTGACTGCCAAATTTTACAGCCAAAAAAAAAAAATCACAAAAAAATTAATAGGTAAAGACAAAAAAAATCACACACACACGTGTGGAGAGGATTGCCAATATTTTAATAGCAGAAAGGGATTACTCTAAAGAGGGGTGAATAAGTAATCAATCCAACAGAGACTAAGAGCAAAAAATAATTGATAGAGGGAAGCAACAATATTAACCTGGGGAAACCTAAGTGAAGGAAGAAAACCACATTTTAACAGCTTTACAATTGCATCCCTGAATTTTTAATGATCAACCCCTAAGTATATCTTGTTGGCCCTACAATGTCAAAATTATAGGAAATTAACAACTCACCTTCTTTATGCAGTCTTTTAACAATTTTATTAACAACTTCTATGTATCTCATGTACTGCTTCAATGTGTATTCCAATGGTGTTAATTCTGGGAATGCTAACATACTTTCATCAGCCATGAATGCAGCTTGGTCTGGTGCACCTGCAGCTAGCACAGCTAATCAGAAGAATCGCAAAGAGGAATTAAATAACACATAATGAAATAAAGGAATTTTAAATTTTAAAAAATTCAAGAATGTTTGTTTGGATTGCATTGCATTGATAACATTTTAGAAATTTTAAGTGAGTCTACAAGATAACATTATAAAATCCTGACTCCTTGTCCTGCAGCAGGCGATAATTTTCTTATGATTGTTACCACTAATAACCCCTCATGATAATGGCTGTATCCAAAAGCAATGGTTTGTGGGACTGAAAGTGTAGTAGTCAAACAAACACCGCTGGCAATATAATATTAAAATGTTGCAAGGGGTTTTCCTGAACAGTTTATTTCAGAATTCATCATAAGAGTGGTGCTTTTAAGCTAATTATCGGTACACATATATCTGAATATAAAAAATGATCATTCAAAGTTAAGTAGAGCAGTGAGAAAAATCCAATGCAAAGTGAACCCCAGGTGTAACACAATACAGCAGCTGTAAACTATTATATTTTCACAAGATTGAAATATTACACAAACTACAGAGCTGCAACATTACATAGTTTCTCTCATCTTACAAACAATTATATTTCATGATATTAAAACAGTATTCAATCGCAATCAATTTATTCCTGTTCACAGAATTCAGACTGATTTGTGTGTAAACACAGCTGTACTCACAATCAAAGATTTGTTGCGTTAAAAAGCATGCAATTTAAACCACAGTAATTCTACTAACAAGTAAAATACCAGTGTATACATGTATGTAGTAGAAAATATTTGGTAATCGTTGTCCTATGTAACTACAAGTATTCAAAATAGCTAAACATTTTGAGTAATGGCTCTTTATCAATAACATAGAGGAAACTGTTTAAATGTACAGATGGAATGCAAAAACAAGCATAGCAACTATAAAAGTGAATAACTAAAATATTCTACACATACGGTACATGGAGCTGAGGGAATGAGTTGAAAAGTTTATTAATTCCCTGTGGTTCTTTAGTTCCAAGGTGGAATATAGTTTATAGACTAATATGTGCATCAGTAGTGTCCCGAACATATGTAAGGCTGTGATGACATAATATGTCTCAATAAAGAGTCGAAATATTGAGCTATATGCTAGTGAGTCAGACAGTTAGATAATGGGTCAAATCAGGGTTGTTCACCTTGTGAATCTTGGGTTAAAGATAGAAAGATTTTCAGCCTCTTTTGGCAAAACCATTAACCATGTCAACTATTTCTCGCTGTGATTCCTTAGTTTTATCAACATCAAGTGCCAGGTACATGTTGGAGTCCATATCGAAACACTGCGTACAAGTCTCTATGCCAAACCACAACAGACTGCTTTACTACCTTTATCAGATGGCTTTATAACAATGTCATCACGTAATATGAGGTTATTACGAGGATACCTCAAAGTATGCACACGAAAACAGTACAGCTAGCGAACTGTCCGAGTACGCAAAATTACGGCACGCTGCAACTTATGGTGTTACGGTGACAGATATAATAATATGTGATATTGCACATTGCTAGTTAAAATGTACAGAATGTATTTCACATCTAAACACATTAATATAGTGACTGACATATGCATTTTTTCATATAGTTTGATATTCCACTGTAAAACACTAAATTTCTGCTGGTAGAAATTTTCACGATTTGATAACATTTTCAAAAACAAAATTTTGTTTTGTAGGAAAACAAGTTTTATGATTTTCAGACTGCTAGATTTGTCTCTCACAAAATTACCGTAGTTTACAGTAGTTTATCAAAACATTTAGTTCTCACCAGATGCTGTAGCTGGTCCCACTGCTTTAAGAACAGTCAGTGCTTGTATAGCAGCCGTTAAATCAGGCAAACATTGGAATGCTTTCTTACTGGCATTAACAACAGCTTCTTCACTGTTTGTTTGTATTAACTCTGCTAAACGGGGTCGGAACTTACCTCTCTAGAGAAGAAAGCGGAATAAATCAAACATGTAAATTGTGTGCAATGACATGAAAATTACTGCCTTTTCTGCCTTAACCTTTTCATCACAAATTCACAAAATAGTCCTTTTTATAGTCTGCACTTTCCTTCGGAAGATAGGGACGAAAATAGCCAACTTTTTTGGGTCAAAACTGAAAATTCACTAAAATTTTGTCTGTTGGTGCCAAAATTAGGGTTCATTTCCAGAAATATTGAAGAATGTAAGAAAAAAAGTGGAAAAAAATTTGAGCAAGAAAGTGAAGAGGTTAAAACCACATCTGAATGTAACAGTATCATTATCATAAATTAATTTCTAATTACAGAAATAACGTTTATCATTATATCATTTTTGTTGTACAGTATCAGATTGTTTTGTTTTTTATTTTAAACTGTCACAAAACATGTGCTTTTGATTTGATTCTTAATGTAGGTAAATTGAATGTCTTTATATATTAATTATTAAATTTAAAAAAAATGAAATAGAATGTGCACATTTTTAACTGACATGCATAATTACCTCAGAAACCTCAATAGGCAAAATACAATTTGAAGATTTAGATTTCAAAGGAAAACAAAAAATATTGTTCTGTGCAACATTTCACGATATCAACATAATAAACTTCCCATTGTAGTTTGTTCAACATATCCCAAATAACCATACGTTCATCAGAATATCTCAAAGTTTAGTGTTCCACAAAACAGTCCCAAATATTCAAATTATTTATGAGGTTATTATACTGCAAAAGAGACACTTGAAATTATTAAAAAGATACCGTGAGCACAAAAACAAAAACCACATATATATGATGTGGTGTTGTCATGACAACTTATATTATTATGCAGTTCAATAGCAAAATGCACTTCAATTCCACTTCAGATTAGTGAAATGTACATTTTGAATGTACTATGTTATCATTCCTTATTTGGTATTTGTAATTCCTAATAAGCCAAGATAATGTCAGCCATCTTAGAAATATTGCATCATCATTCCTTATTTGGTATTTGTATTTCCTAATAAGCCAAGATAATGTCAGCCATCTTAGAAATATTGCATCATCATTCCTTATTTGGTATTTGTATTTCCTAATAAGCCAAGATAATGTCAGCCATCTTAGAAATATTGCATCATCATTCCTTATTTGCATATAAAAAAAAGGTAAGATGTAGATACCCCTAAAACTACACAGCATGGTGTAACTTGTGGTGATTACTCAACAAACATACAATTTAGTTGCAGCCCCTATTTCATGCAGCAATAATACGATACATACATTCAGTTTCCATTTCATCAGTTTTGTTATTTCTTTGTGTGTTATGTGTTTATCATCACGACTGTTTATCATAATTGGAAGTTCTTCTTGACACCTGAAGGGGAAAAAAAAGATAATAATTTGATGGTCCACATTTGGAAATTTTGTTTCAATAAAATTACAGAACACATATATTTATCAATCCTTTGAGTGTGATAAGAAACTTTTGTCATCAAAACAAAACAACATCCACATCATTGTTTTCATTTCATAAAAAGTTATGTTGATTTGGTCTAAAGTTACAGTTCTGTATAATTAAAAATAAAAAAAAAATACATAAAAATTGGAAATTTTGTAGAATAATTTATTATTACTGGGTTTTATTTTCCAGCAAAAAAATCACAGAATACTCATAATTCTAAAACAGAATACTTAAGTCATATTTAATTCTTACCATCTGTCAAGCTCTATTAGTTCCTCTTTTCCTTTTGGTCTGGTAATTTTGTCAGCTTTCAGTTCTAATACTTTATCGTATAACTCAAACACATTCCGCCATTCCTCAGCACGAGCATGCTTACAAAATCTAATGGTATCATCACTAGGCATAATCTAGAAGATAAGCAAATGGACACTGTAAACAGCTTTAATTTTATGGGAACAATGCTTGTTTGTGTGTTGCAAATTTTTTTTGGAAGTGAACTTGAGGTGTGTAAAATGAAAGATGACAACATTTCAAGATGCAAATCGCATTTGATGTTGGTGCAACCAGTCGGAAGGCTCTGCAAGTACAAGTACATTATGGCAGGGACATTCAAATAGCATTTCCATGATGCACTGATGCATCGCAGGGATTGTGGAGCCACACTTTAAGATAAGCAGTCACAACTACAAAAGTATCTAAAATTTACCATGGATAGGCCAAAAGAACTGGCACTGCAGTGTACACGGATAGATGCAACAGATGACCTGTATCAGGACTGGAAAGGTCAAAATCTGGTAGTCTTTATTACACCAACATTCTTCAATGGAATGGTGCATGATTACACTTGTAATAAATACAATCGTGTGTGTAACAATATCTTCAAATTGTGAACAATTACTGATACAAGTCTGCAAAATTGTTTTTAGTGTCGATCACACATAGCAAATATTGTTTCATCAAATAAATTCTAACAATATAGCTGCCACAAGAATGGTAGAATATGAACGATTTTAGAATTTATCAACCCACAAAATAATGGAGAAATGATATCCCAAACAGCAGTTTTAAAATGAAGCAACCACACACATTACGTAAAATAATCGTGATCTTTGTGAACGTCCTCATGTATTTTCTGATAAACTAAAATCAAGCAAAAATTTATGAAGATTCTAGAAGATAGTCAGTCATCTTCAAATCAATACACCCTGTCCCAGATCATATTTTTCGGTAACCAAACAGGCATGCCAAATTGCCAAATCATATATAGAAATTCTCTCTTCCTCGAAATGAAAGTGATCCGACGAAAACATCAATATGCGAACTGTACTGTGTCTTCAAACCCTATCTTCACTTCAAGGATTACGACTTGAGAATTAGAATTACCAATGATCATATTTTTGATGAGCAACAAGGACTCCAAGGCAATTAAATGTATGGGGACCTATCTACTTAAAGCCATGGAATACAGAAAACTTTAACGTATCTATTTATATTGTATTGTAATTGTGTTGTGTACGTATATATTTATTGCTTTTTACCAAAAGAAATATTGTAATTTCTAAGGATGCAATAAAATTTGATTATTATTATTATTATTATTAATTCACAACATAGTCGGCGCCGATTTATTTTGTCTAGCTTAGTCTCGCAAAATGTTGCCACATTCACGCCATTTTTTTTATTTTTGATGGAATTCAGTTAACTACTTACCAATTAATGGCAGTGTTTCTGGTTTAAAGATCCTCAGCGCACGCCGCACACGGTCCACAACTCACAAAGAGATGTTGTATGTATTTCTGAAGAAATACTCAGCCATGTGATACAGTCACCTGACAGTAGACCGACCCAATTAGAAGAACCGTTACGGAGCATTCAAGCGTTGACCTCGGCTGTAGCCAATTGTCGTTGCGCTCTCATTTGCTGCATGTATTTAAATTGTAAACATGGCGGCGCTGTGTTTGAAACTTGTTATGATCCGGAAATTTTGTGAGCATTGAAATATTTACCTTCAAAGATTCAAGACATTTCCCCCACTTCAATAATTCCTCCGCAACATTTTGTTAAAGTTCACATTTCAGATAGAGTGATAACCAATTTATCGTCCAGAATTTTTCGATCTCGTCAATTTACTTCTGCAAGCGACGACGCGACTCGACTGTGACTTGAAGTTGATGCATGTTAGAACTAGTTTTAATGGAAGTTAAAACACTGCACGTTTGAAAACCTGTAGTACCATTTTATTCAAGCTACGATAAATTGAAAGCTAAAGCTGTGTTGACGTCAGTAATATCTCACAATCAGTTAAATACTGTGTTTCAACCAACTCTAGGTAAGTGTCCTTTAGGTTACTATTTGACAGATATTGAGATTGTCAATAGCCAACTTTATCGCACGGTGGTGTAGTGTTGACAAGTACTAGTAGTGTGTTTGTTCCAACTACGGTATGTACCTTGAATATTTAGTGGGCTGTACCTAGGAACTAGCATATTGTGGCACAGTTTTTATATCAGCGAGTAACACATGCGATATTTTCACATTATTATTATTATGGACCTAAGTTATTATAATTATTATCATTTATTTTAATTAATTGCGCACCTGGTTGCAATAAATCTCTCGAAGAAACTATCCATTAAAAGAAGACGCAGCTTACTTATCTTACAAGTTTGGAACACCAATGCAGCATTTTAGCGAGCAAATTTGCTCATCAGATAGCAATATTGCTTTCAGACAAACGTCTGGCACTTGCTTTTAAAATTGTGTTCATGTATACCACTATCGTGGTACTTGGTTTTTGGCATTGTTGAAGATACCATTATTTCAGGGTGTAAACCACTATTGTTGATATAAATCATTTATAACGTACAGTAGGCCATATTTGTATTTTTGTAATACATGTACAATAAAAAAAAGATCTGCATAATAATAATATTAATAATAATAATAGCACTTTATTATCACCATAAAGAAATCTTTTTTGGGCTCTGAGTAATAAAGTTAAATTAATAAACATGAACACAAAATAATTATAATAAGTATCAAAAAACAAGGAAAGTTACTAAATGATTCTTTTCAAGTTTGCATTGTCAATGTATTGGATTAGTATTTTCAGTAAATGTTTATCTGATGCATTGATGATTGTCTTGAATTTTTCTGTTTTGTCCATCTCATGTAAATTTAGTAAATATTTTGTTAAATTTATCGTAAAGAGTTTTTCTTTCAGAAGAGTATGTGCTGCATGATTTTGATTTTATTTTTGCTTACATGTATAATGATTTTATTCTGAAATTTCTTTTATGGCAGGCAAACTTGATTGACTCAGTAGAAAATAGACAAATCAAAATGCAGTACCATATGCAGAGTGATTGATTGTGTTGTCCATTTCAATTTAGTGGCTATTTAAAATATATCTAAAGGACTATCATTTTCATCATTTGAAATGTGGTTGATTAACCAAAAATCCATGATATTTAATGTAAATAGATCAATTGATTGATTGATTGATTGATTGATAGAATGGACACTTGTAACAAGTAACACTTTGGTGTTCAAATGTGCAGTGGTAGTAAATACTGTTTTGTTTTGTGCCTGGATATTATTGTACTTTAATAGTTTATAAACGCATTAATAAATATTTTATTCACTACCACAAACAGAGCATGGTTAACCATGGTAATTAATTAACCATGGTTGAACTATGTTACAAGTGTAGGGATGTATACATCATTGCTTGAAAATATAATTGTCAATAAACTTATATTAATTATGAATGTATATCCAGATCCTGTATGGTATTGCAGAAATATGGACCCAAATCTTTCTCGTGGCCTAAATGAACAGGAGGAGAGAGGTATATTTTACGCTTAAATAATAATTTATCGTATAACTTACTTTCTCGTTTGATACTGATGTGCATTGAAAAGCTGCAATGAATTACAGTACTACTATAATGGCTCTATTAGAAGCGCGTACTAGTATGCTTCTAATAAAGCAAATATGGTATATATTATTGAACAAATATGGGTATTTGTGTCTGAGCCAATCAAAGGGGACCATTAGCCTGACTTAACCTGCACAAATGCATATACACCAATATTTCAAGCTGTATTATGTTTATTACGTATTTCGCAATTAATAAATGGGAAGTTTACTCTCCAAAACACCCCTTGGTTAGTCAATTTTGATATCGCCTTGTGCAAGTGTGGCAACAGTCATGCAAGTTTCACTGCACACTAAAATATATAAGATTCTAAACCATGTATCATAGTGCTGTGAAAGTTGAGACATGTAATAAAAAGTATGCTTGACTGCCATCTGTTTGTTCCACACAATTAATAAAACATTTTTTTATAGGTTTTGTAGACTTAGCTAATGAACTCCTTGCAAAGTTTCATTTAACTGTTATAACATCATTATCTGAGTTTATTCCTGCCAATTTTATTGTGCTGTATGAGGGGATTCTTGGAGACTCTCTGCCAGGTAAGCGTGACATGCTTCAACATGTTTTGTATACATTGTACTATTACATGTAGCCTTCCAAGTTCATGTTCATGAATGTGTGAAAAAGACAATTACTTTATACATGTATTATGTAACTATATATCGGTACATGTATATGTCTACAATATCATTGTTGAACTTTTCCAGTAATGATATACTGTAAAGCATATTACCCCCCCCCCCCCCCGGTAATTTAGCTAATCTGTAATTTCGCTAATTCGAGATGTCACAATAAGATATGCACTTTAGCTAAATTTAAGATTCTGTTCAATAATGCATTGAGTAAAAATTTGCTAATGTAGTATTTCAACATATTTTACAGTATGAATTCACTGATGAAGTGGTAGTTTTTTAGAAGCGAAAATGAACCATCTCAGTACATGTATAGAACTGATCACCTGTTTTTAAAAAGAAGAGAACAAAAATGGATATACATGTACCCGGTACATGTATCATAGAAATGAAGCCTCTGCTTATAAATGAAATTTGAAACAATGATAGGTCTGTGAGGAAATGATGGATATATGGATCTAATATTTCCTCTTATTTATCTTTTCACCACCAGACTTTCTTGTCCAAATTTTGTGCACTTTTTTCCCAATGCATCAATACTTCTAGAAATGAACCCTAATTTTGGAGCCAATAGACAAAATTTGAGTTAATTTTCAGTCTTTACGCAAAAATTTTTTTTTCACCACCAGACTTTCTCGCGCAAATGTTGTGCACTTTTTTCCCAATGCGTCAATACTTCTAGAAATGAACCCTAATTTTGGAGCCAATAGACAAAACTTGAGTTAATTTCAGTCTTTACGCAAAAATTTTTTTTCACCACCAGACTTTCTTGCCCAAATTTTTTGCACTTTTTTCCCAATGCTTCAATACTTCTAGAAATGAACCCTAATTTTGGAGCCAATAGACAAAATTTGAGTTAATTTTCAGTCTTTACTCAAAAAATTTGGCTATTTTTTGCTCTAATCTTCTGAAGGAAAGGGCAGACTATAAACGGGACTATATTGTGAATTGTGTTGAAAAGAGGAAACTGGTGGTGAAATGCTTAAGCAAATGTTGCACTTAAAAACTATGATATATCATTCATGAATGTAACATTAAATAATATTTTTTTTACTGCTAAATGTATCACATTGAAGAGAAAAATTCTGCTTGATGATGAAATGTTACTACACAACTTGGTGAAGGAATACCAAATCAGTGATATACTAGTAATGAACTCTTTGTGACTCATGTGAGATCCTTAATGTTATGTCCTTTTTTGAACTTGCAACACAGGACTAATACAGAATCCCATCACAAGAGAAGATGAAATTCACAATACCCAAAAGGTGATTGACTCATTATCGATAGATGTGTTGAGAACTGATTTGTCTCATATCACAGCAGACAGCATTGTTGATGGGGATTTTTTAGCATTGTCTAACCTGATAGAGATATTCGCTGGTTTGTTAGAGTACGTAATGGAAGCTATCAGCTCAGAGGGTTCTACTAGTGGTGATGGTAAGTATTATGTCTTAATGTTATTATCTTAGATCATAGAACAATTGTGTGAAATATTCAATGGTTTGAATGCTGTAAACTACTTTAATTTTATGAGTCAGTGAACATTGGGAAATTTTGTAGCCTTGACTTTTCTCTGAGGTCCTACATGTATGTGTTTATGTGTCAGTGATTTGGTTTCACTAGTGCCATGAAATATTCAACTCATGAAAAATGAAGTAGTGATGGTTTAGAGTATGCTCAAACTGCTGAAAATATTTTTAGGATCCCCTGGATTCACTTGAACAATGTATTCTGAATACTTCTTAATTTATGTGTGTTATAACACACACTTTTAAAACGATGGACAACATTAAAATCTGCTGAAAACTATTAAAAACTAGACGTTGGATTGGATTCTGATAAACCGTGAATGATATATTTTGTTATTCATATTGAAATCAGTATAGTTACAGTTGTCATTATTTATCCCTGAATAAGGAAAAAAAAAACTTGACCTGGATTTTTTTTATTATTAATTTTGCCTATTGCCTGTCACTGTAGTTGATGGTATGTCAGATGATCTGGATGGATTGACATCCGGTGCTATCTCCACTATATCAGACGTGTTAAAAGAAGAATTAGGACCAACATATAATTATGATTATGCAAGGAACACCAATGAGACTACAAAAGACAGGTACAGTATGAGTTTTCAATGTTCCAGTTAGTTTTTGGTGTTCTACTATTAATCTCTGGCAAAACCAGAATTTTGGTAAATGTGAAGTGATTTTGCTTTTTGTATGTGTTAATTGAATGGTTTCCATCCCTACGTATTCCAGTCAAATATGTTCAAAATGGGTAATCTTATTTACTATGAGCGGAAAAGCAAGCCAACCAGCAGTATTGCAAAAAAATCCACCAACACTTTTTAGCAGATAAAATTTTTAACTGTGATATGGAAAATAATGAAACATAAATTAGAATGAATGAATGTGTAGAAATCTGATACACTTACAGTTCCTACAGTTAGACAACTTACAGTGAAAAATCTAAGAAAAATCCTCCCAGTGAAATTACTGGAAAGTCCAACAATAAAACCATTATACAATTTAAAAAAATTTAAACGCATTGCATGGAAACAGATTAGGTTTACAGTTGATTTAGCATAGGGCTGTATGGAAAAGATACAAGTTTTCCTCCCAAACGCCCTCTATAGTTCATTTTTCTATCCCACAATCCTTAGCAAAATCCATTATTGAGTTAAAACATTTCTTCTCTATAGCTCACTGTTTTGCAAACACAATAGCATTATTGATGTGTTAGGTGCAATTTTCAGTCCCGCTGCTACTTATTTTGACTTGTTTTATTTTCATAACATGACTTGTGTTCATTCATGTGAAATGCTTTATTTTTAATTCACTGGAAATGAGTTTTCGTTACCAAATTTAACATCACCATGGTATGCAGGATCACAACCAATATATCACTATACTTGTTTCTACTTTGCAGACCAGCTGATGGCATTCAAAAACCAGCTGACTCCACAGCTGATCTTATTAGATTAGGAGATACTCTTGAAAGTCACCCTTCACCAGCCAAATCACGAGGTGAGTTTTTACTCAGTGATTGTTGCTTTTAAACACAGTCCCTCAACAGGGACTGTGTTTTAAACACTGTGTTATGTCATTGAGAAGTGGTCCTAGAATTTTTGTTTATATTTGCACTCTGATATTGGTGTTCTATGAGTATGGTGGTGGTGAGCATTTTGCCTTCCCATATGCCATCAAATATACCACTAACACGTAACAGTAAAAAAAAATACACTAAACCTGTCAACCTAGAGTCCAATTTTGACGTACTTGAAGAGTTAAACTTCATACTTACCATATGTAGAGCTCATTTAAGGATGAACGCACCATAAATATTCTTTATTTAATACTATTTACCTAAACCCTTTCACCACCAGACTTTCTCACCCAAATTATTCTACACTTTTTTTCTTTTATTCTTCAATATATCTGTAAATGAACCCTAATTTTGGAGTCAACAGACAACATTTATGTCAGTTTTTGTCTCAATCTTTTGAAGTGCCGACTATTTTGTGAATTTGTGATGAAAAGAGGGAACTGGTGATCAAAAGGTTAATATTGTAATAGTGCTTTGAGTCTGGGAATTCATGTGCAATTCTAAAACTTACAATTGCTATGTCATTTCTCAGTTACAACAGAATGGTCTAGTAATAATGGGGGTATTTTAAAGTCAACGCTACCAGAAGAACCCAAACCGACAGGTGAGATTTTAAATACATCACATATACCAATATTTAATTTCCTTTGCAAACTATGATACTTACTAATAGAAGTTATCCCTGGTAGTTGCTAAGCCATGTAGTCCCGCTTTGTTTTAAATTTGTATATGCAGAACACCTCCCACTGATTATTTTGATCAACATATAATATGACAAAATCAGTTGGTATGACAACAACAACAAATCCTGAGAAACACTAGCTATACTGTACTGAATGTCTTGGTGTCTAATCACCAAAACAGACATTTTCATTGTTGTAATCACAATTTTTTTAATATTTAATGTAAATTTGTTATTTAAAAAAAAATACTTGCACTTTAATGATTGATTTGGAGTGATACATGTATGCCTCCCAACAACTGAATGTGTAAATTTTGTGTTATCAGGTTGCATAAATATTTGTGTTACTAATAAAAAATAAACAAAAATACAACTGTTGACGTCTGTTAAAATCTGTGGCTGTTATGCAGTACAAAATTAGCATACTGGTATTACTAATTGCACTAATTGTCAGTATCTTATAAAAATATTCAAGCTAGCATTTTTTTATTGGTTAAATCATTTCTACATTTTAGCTACAGTTGCCGAAACAACCCAGGATCTGATACGCGACAGTGAGGAGTGGGTGAGAAAATTACAAGACCATCGGGAAAAATGGGGTTCATACAGTCCTAGTAAATCATCTACAGTGACCGAATATAGCACCACATCATCACCATTAATGCACAGGAAAGGCAGGACACCTTATAGTCCAGCAAGGTCGTGTACGACTGTGACGTCTGATAGTGTGTCATCCTCTCCTTTAACTGACCGAAATACAAGATATAGTAAGTTACTTTAATCTACTGTGAAATATTTTATTTTAGCTGGAATTAATTTTTGCTGAAAAGGCTTTTTAGGCGTTTTGTATGGAATTTATTGCCACTGATTTTTTAATGAGTTGAATGTGAAATATAGGAAATATTTTCAGCGAAAATAGGGAAAATAAATTCCAAGCAAAAATAAAGTATTCTACAGCATGCTATGTTTATTCTCAATGGTAAAGCATCTGCACATCATACAAAAAACAAAATGCCAGTGATGATATTTTCAAATTGCAACAATCCTATACAATGTAAATAAATATCAATGTTTTCATACTCTGAGTGTGCAAAATTAGCGCAAAGTAGAGAAAATTAGCCAATCCTGTCTCACTCTGGGGGTCACTGTGCTTTCATCAACATGTAAAAGGCCCATAGACTTCTATAGCAAAGTAGAAAAGCGTGTACAAAATTAGCACAAAGTCCAGAAAATTAGCCAATCGTGTCTTACCCACATATTTCACTGTCCTTTCATCAGCGTGTGAAAGTCCCATAGATTTCTATAGCAAAAAAAAGAAAAATGTAATACCAGTCCACAGTCATTTTTACATTGTTTATGGTAGAGCTAAACCTGATTTGACCTGGCATAAAACCATTCAGAAAATGGTAAAATCTTCAATTGTTATCATCCAAGAATAATCAAAAATCATGATAGACAATATTTGGTCTATTAAAAGGGTATATCCAAAAAAAGGTACATGTGTAAGCCAAAAGTGTTTGTATTGACTAGATTTTAAATATATTTTAACTTACCAGTAAGTCTTTCTTACCGGTATGCAATATCATGTGTTTTGAAGGTACACTTTTTATTAGATCAGTGTTCTGTATATAAACTGTTCATTTCTTTATAGATTTTGCCAGTACATCCAGACAATCTCCAATCACTAAAACCATATTGCCTTCAGTTGTTGCATCACCTGCAAAGAGTGTGACATTCAGCGATGCACCACCTGCAACAGTTGGTAAGTCAACCTCATTCCTTTAGGAAAAAATTAGAAAAAATATTTAATAAGTGATTATTTCCCTCTATGATTTGTGTGTTATTTACCACAAATCAGTAAAATTACACAGTGTACATACATGTACAATGCACACTAGGATATCAATAATTTCTACATTTTGTCAGTGATGTTGATGTATTATACATGTCTATATTTTTTAACCAGATATATCTGAAAGTGTTGCTTCAAGTAGAACACCAGGAGCTCGGAGAAGGGTAAGGAGAAATTGTTATGCTTAAACTGTATTTACATTCATGAATCATGTCTAGTGAGTTCATATTGTGTACTAGCATGTTTAGCTCTCAGTAGATATATGGGTAGATGATATGATCAGAGTGTCTTAATCAATGAGTATGGCCCAGGTAAATTATTCATAGTACTGGTCAACTTACACATCAGTTAATAATAATCGCAGAATTTTAGAGAAAACAAAAGAAAACAAGTTTCAAGAACAAACTGACCAAAAACATTATATTCTATTTTTACTTGACTCTATAAAGGCTATCTCTAATTTGAAATCTTACTCAATGTAAAAAAATAAAGGCTATGATATCTATCTTGCGCTGAATGATCTTACTTTCGTCTACGTAGACATTGATGTAATTTAGATTGTCAAGTGATAACAAATGTTACTGTCTTAACATCACATAATAAATTTTTGTTGCTTTATTGTATTACAGATTGATACTAATTTTGATCAAGCTCGAACAAGAAAAACAGCCTGGTCTGAACAGGCTGATGATGAACCCATGCCTGCCGAGCCATTGTTCCCGACAAGTACCACCTCACCAGAGAAACAGTGGCCAGAGGGTACAGGTGCTAGACCCAAACAGTTGAATGAGACGACAACACCAAGAAGCAGTGATGATAGATTGTCACGGCAACAAAAAGATAAGCCTGAAGGGAGGCCAGTAGTATCAGCTGAAAAAGATTTGTCAATATACAGTCGGAGAGTTGAAGATGCCACAAATCTTAGACAGAGGAAAGAAACACAGAGGAAACGAGAAAGACAAAGATCAAAGCCACGAGACATTGAACTTGACGTTTCACATCACAGTGATAGCGAAATTGATTATGGACAAGTTTGGAATATGTTGAAGCAACACAGAGAGATGAGGTGGGTACAGATGGCAGTGTCATGTGTGTGTTGGTTAGTGTTCAGTTAACGCTTCTAAGAAACAGTTGACCACTAAACAACATTTTGGTTAAGGATAAGATGTTAACTAACCAATAAGGGGGAACGCATTGTGTGTTTTCCTATTGTCAGAGAGGTCTACCTACAAGATGTCATTCAATTTACAAGTAAATCTACCTTTCAGCCTAATACATCAAAACCAATTGGAAAATTTTGATTATTATGAATGTGCCTTATTTTTTAGCTCCGCTGTCGACACGGAGCTGTTCATATTACTGATTGTCTGTCGTCGTCGGCGTCAACTTTACAATTTCAACTTCTCCTTCTCAGATTTGTTCATTTCATGTCAAAATCTCAGTTTCTCTATTTTTGGTGAATATTTTTGTCATTTTTGGTAAAAAGTGATATACGTATATAGGTACATGTACTATATGTGGACCTCTCTCAGATTTGTTCATTTCATGATGATATCTTCAATTCTCTAATTTTGGTGAATATTTTTGACATTTTTGGTAAAAAGTGATATTTTGATATCTTGTAAAAAACCGCAAGTTTGATTACTTTGATGTTACGTATATAGGTACTACATGTGGACCTCTCTCAGATTTGTTTATTTTGTAATGATATCTTTAATTCTCTAATTTTGGTGAATATTTTTGTCATTTTTGGTAAAAAGTGATATACGTATATACCGGTAGGTACTATATGTGGACCTCTCTCAGATTTGTTCATTTCATGATGATATCTGTAATTCTCTAATTTTGATGAATATTTTTGTCAATTTTGGTAAAAAGTAATATTTTCGCAAGTCCGATTGCTTTGATACTATACATATTGTTCATTTTCTAATGATATCTTCAGTTCTTAATTGAAATGTGCATTGCTAACAGTGGCGCTATCTCAGCCGATAGGCTGCTTGTTTTCTAGTTGTTGTTGTTGTAAAAATGTGTTTTTATTATTTTCTCTAGGCCTGATCCTGATCCAGTTATTGTAGAGAATGAAGACTATATGGATGTGAGACCCAAATATGGTAGATCACCACCAAGGCGTCTACAACAAACTAACTTTGAATCAGCACTAGATGCCGATGCTAAAGGTCCCATGGCTAATATCAGAAAACAGTTGAGAAAAGAAGACAAGAGAAAACAGTTGAGAACTGAGGTTAGTCTTTAATTGCGCTTAAAGCTGGCCATGTTGTGGTTTGGGACAATTGCCTTATAGTACATGTATCTGCTAGTTATGATGTGTTTGTGCTTGATTTCTTACTGTTCAAGTGTCCTAGAATTGTTCACAATGCTAGTGTCTAAAAAAATGGATACTCACATAACAAACTAGTTTTACAATTGGGAAATTGTATATTATTATTATTATTATTATTATTAACCTGTTAGTACCCTCATTGAAGGTAAATTCCAGTCATCTCATGATACACAGTGATACAATGATTTTTTTTACATGTAAAGGAACTGAAGGTTTTAAAACTAAAAGCATTACCTAGCTTTCATAGCAAGAGTATTTTCAATATGTGTGATTTAATATTTATTGCAATATGTTTTTTTCTAATTCATGTAGGCAATGAAACATCTCTATGAAAGCCATCTACAAGACGTCAAATATGCACAGAAAAAGACACTGTCAGAAAAGAAAAAGAAATCCACTAACATGGTGAGTCCATGTACAAACATGATGTCATGATATTAAAATAGATTATAGGACAGGACTAAAATGCTACAGTAACTGTATTTGCTCTGTTAGTCACCCACGTGCTTATGTAAATGACAGAGGTAAATTCATGAGTCAAAATAAATTGTATTTTAACTGTATACAATTATGCAATTTTTGGTTTATGTGTGGTTCTATTAGAGATGAGCTTTTAAGAACAAATACAGTATTGATGGTGCAGTTATTGCTGTATTAGAAATAACACTCTGTTGTCTGTTGTGCTGAATTCTCTCAATACATGGAGTACATTTTGTATTGTAGCCAGTTTTATGTTTTCATATCTATTCATAATACATCATCACCATGCACCCACAGAGCCAAAGACATATATATAAGTAGCTGTTGTTGTATTATTTGGAAAAGAGTGTGTGCGATGCAAATTTAATTGATTTAATCATTAATGCTCTGTAGATAATGTTATTTATGCATTTATGATGAGCTTTATGCGAAATCTTCTCTTTATTTTATTTTTACCCCTCTGCTGAAAATAGCGATAGTCAATTCCAAGATATCTACGTTATTCAACACATGTGTTGTTCATATTACAGGATAATATTTACAAGTCTGTGCATAGAGGAGGACCTAAGGCATCCAAGTACAGACCTGAATCCAAATATAAAGGTAATGCTGACATAAAATATATGTGTATAAAGTACCGTAGTGTCAAATGAACCAATGGGTCTTTATAGTCCGACCAAATGGTGTACTGTACCATTCAAAAATGATACCCAGCAGTTTTCTAGGTACTGAGTAAAAAAATGCTTTAATTAAAATTCTGGACTAGTGTATTTTTGGGGGGGGTGATCTACTCTCGCCTAGAGAAGGCCCAGGCTAAGTAAGTTACGCAGTCTTGTTTAGTTCAGTTATTAGTGCGCTATAGGTTAATGTAATCATAGTTTTTCTACAGATGATGAAATGTATTATGCAGGGTTCTAAGTTCAAAGATGTATTCATGGAGGTGATTAACTGGATGCCCCACCTGAATATCTTGCTGACCTTCAATATAGTAAAAATAATTCATTCACAAAATGAGTCTTAAGGCATTTTTTTTTTAGAAATTTTAGCCTTGAAATTGTATTCTTTGAGGACAGTCTAGTGTATTACACTGCATTCAATTGTGTTGTGTCCTGCATAATATTATTGAACTTGATCTATTGATACTTCATCTTACAAATTTATGTTCATGTTCATAGCAAGTGTAGTCAAGTCCAAGGTTCGTTCCAAGCCAGTAAGTGCTCCTACAACTCCAGTCAGTAAGAGACGTAGGAAGACATTAAAAGTGGGAAGTCCTGGTCAAGGAATTAAACCCAAAGGTCGACGTAAGTCAATAGGCAGTTGCATTGCGTTTTTGCAGTGGTGTACATTTATTATAAACAGTGATACAACTATACTTGCTATTTTAGTTTGTCAAATATATCACTTATATTGCTTTGAAAAAAGATTTCAACATACAGAAGCATACAGCAAACCAGATTGATGATAGGTGACAGAAATTAACAGAGCTAACCTGTTATTTCATATACCCACTTAATTGTAGTGACAGTACAAGAAGATGATTTGTTACCAACCATGCTGCAAGAGTTCCCATTTCTTCATGTATCGCCGCAAACGGCTCATGACATGTGGAGGAAACAAATGAGACAGATTGAACAACTTGCAAAAGCTGAGGAACATCACAAGAAAAAGACAAAAACACAGCTACAGGTACAGTGTAATTCTTTATTATGGAATTGATGGAGATGTATATATAACTCATTCATTGTTCACTTATTTACTTTGACTGCTTGATCTTTATTCACTCACTGTTCACTATCCACTCACTACTTTTTCACTAATTTCTCACTATTCACTTTAATACTTTGTACTTGCTTATTTCTCATTATTCACTCACACACTCACTTTCTCATTATTTGCTCACTTCTCATTCACTAGTTAATATTACTCACTGACTACTTGTTTATTTAACACACACACACACTCACTCACTCCTTGCTCATTTATCACACTCTTTGACAACTCACTCAATATTCACTCACTCATTTAAAATGACCAACTATACTATGATTGTATTATTTTCAATATTTTGAATATTATATATAGTTGGAAGAAGCTGGGAAGAGACAAGAAATTTTGATGAACATTATGAGGAAGGAGCTCGCACACAATCAACGAATGGTGAGTTCATACTTGATTGAGATATCACTATTTGTCTTAAGACATATTGGAAAATGATCATGTTCATGGCCACATTTAATGACACAAATGTATATCATACTGTACATGATTTCTTTCACTATTTTGATATTTGGTGATATTCACTGGGTTTCAAACTCAGATTTCTAGTAACATATTGAGTTGTATTATAGTCAGAGAAAAGAGAGGCAGGTGTCCCACATTTAGCTTGATTTATTTGAAGGTGAATAAAATATTTGGACCTTTGTTTTTAAGTGTTCTTCTTACAGAGACAATACCAGTATAGAGTGAGTTTTGGTACACTGGGCACAAGACAATGAGTTTTGAAATGCAGTATGCTTGCTTTTCACTTACTTATCTGAATGATTTGTTAAGCATGTAGCCAAGTTTATTACCAAACTTCTCAAAAGTCATTTTGCATTCTGGCTTTTCAACCCTTTGATATTTTAATCTGACTTTGTTTAAACTCATTAATCAAATAATCAATTATTTTGTTAATACAAATGAGGACTTTTTAACCTCAGTGCGCACACATATACCTGTATCATAAACATGCCTGGACCAATCATGTTCAAAATTTACACATATCATACATCTAAGTATACATGATCTATTTCAAAATTGTGGAATGGTATCCATTTTAATATTAAAAATGCAACAAAATCAAGAATTTGTTCTATCCTGGACCAGTTTCCAGTCATACATGGACATACACATATTCAAACTTGGTACATGTATATATTTGGACATAATGCAATCTTGTTTCACACTACTTTGCTTGTTTATTGATTGGATTCAAAACAGCCGACTGATAAACGTTTTGTAATAACAAATGTCGTTCCATATTTCTGACATTTGTTGATTGCAATCAAACTTCATACTAAGTTCTGATTCAAAATTGTTTGTATACCACTGTACAACAAGGACTGTGTCATGACATGACTTTTTAGTCCCCGTTTTCGGACTTCATCCGTCTGTGCGTTTGTGCGTCAGTCTGTCCAGAGCCATATTTCAGAATCCTGTAGACCGATTCTACTCATTCTTTGCATGTGCCTTGTACTTTATGTGGGACATATGCACATGCAGTGGTTTAGTGATTCGATTCAAAATGGCCGACTGGCAGCCATCTTGTTTTTTGAAAATGTTGTATTTTGGACATGCTTTGTCTGTTGTCATTCAAACTTGGTACATACTAGTAGATTATATTATGATTAGGATACATGTCCATGATTGGATCAAAGATGGTCGACTGGCAGGCATCTTGTTTTTTTTTATGCGGTATCTTGGACGTGCTCTGTCAGTTTTCATTCAAATTTGGCACATACATGTACTTTATACATGTTAGGATGCATGTCCATGACAATTTGTTTCAAAATCTGGTCAAGGATGGCCGATTGACAGCCATCTGACTTTTTGGCCTTACTACTATATTTCCACAATTTATGTACCATTTTCATTCGTATTTGGCACATACATCATACATATTAGTGTATTTCATAATCAGATCAAAGATGGCTGAATAACTGCTGTTTTTATTTTTGGCCATAATACTACTACATGGAACACGTGTTTTGATGTAAATAAACAATCTGTTGTATACGCCACTTGGAACTCAAGTTTCAAGGACACTTTCTCGACAACCCCTCCGCTTTAATATGACAAGCAAAAAAGAGAACTTTCAAAAATTTTACGGGGACTGTGTCATTTTCAATGACTTGTTTATTTTTTCATCTGTAGTAACTCAGTATTTTGTTCTTTAACTTCTTGTCCTTTACATTAAATTTTTCACTTGTTTTGTGGTAGAGGGATATCAGAGACAGAGCAACACAGCAGCAGTTAGTTAAAACTCGAGTTAGAGAGAACAGACAAGCCACTGCTAGAGCTAGAAGATACTATGAAGATTTCCAACTCAGAATGAGGTCAAAGATGTTAAAGAGACGAACCAAAGAAGAACAGGTATGAATAACCTGCTCCAGTCTTTCTGTATATGTTTTCTGAATTGCCTAGTAATTGTTTTAATATTCAAAAAAATTGATTATTCTTGTCATCATTCACAGATCTTTAAAAAAGTATTTGAAGATGGTCTGGACATCCAGAAGAATCGTATCAAAGAACTTCGTAAATATGCCAGGGAAAAGAGAGAAGCACTTGCCAGAAGACAGCAAGATGAAATAGATTCTTTAGAAAACTAGTATCCTTTGGTTAATTACAAACTTTTTACCAGTGTTCCCTTCATGTGAAAAACTTCAAATTCAAAAATGAGAAATTATATTTATTTAGTCCAAAATTAAAAAAAAAATTATTACAGAAAAATACAGTATTACTATTTTGATGAGTGTGGCTTTTAGTGTTGTAGAGGCAATATAAAAGTTCTGGAATATTTGGTTTGCTGAGCTACCATGTGGGTAAAGGGGACAAATCAGCAGAATATGCGTTTCTAGGCAGATATTTTACTATCACTATCAGCTTCATCCTTCTACCCAACATGACGAGTCTGTATTGCGGGCATCCACGTTACCTTTAACAGTTTACGAAATTTTTACATGGACAAAATATACATTATAACATTGTGGTATTTTTTTCATAAGATATCTCTAGGCAAACAACATACAAATGTGTACTTTCAACTTGTGGCAAACTGGCTCACAAACAGCTGATTATAGTAACTGTGGAAACAGAGAACTCAAAACTCTTCTTTTGACATTTTAATTGTAGTTCAAGGTGGTATGAAGAATGATTCCAAGAAGACTGTCAAATTCAAAAATAAACTTGTGACTAGAGCAAATTAGAGCAAGTGTTTTGTTCCTTAACCATATTTTCAGTTACCATGATCAGTTTGGTATGTTGTCAGAAACCATTTCTAAAGAGCGATATGAACTTCAAGTTCGAGACAAGGCACAGTCAAATGTGAGTATTAAGTTTTCCACTCATCGTAGTTCCTGCCTTGTCCATTCCTCCTATTGCAATCAGTTCTATCCCAAATTATTACCAGCTTTAGCTGTGTACCAAACATGTTAATTTTATTATAATCATATTCATCCTAGTTGTCTTTGAAAGGCGAAATGAAAAACGATGTCTATGAATGAAACCACACAAATATCAAATCATTCTTGGCATGCACATGTACAGTATATAACTTAGCTGTTATCTTGATTTGCTTTCATAACATTACATCTTTATATTGTGTGGAGTAATCTTTCTAAATATGTCACATATTAGTAATATTATTTACAATACACATCTATATATGCCTTCAAGAAAATCAAGTGGTTTATCATGCTGACTTCTGTTCATCTTTTTTAGCAAAAAAAAACTGTTTCTATATATGTAATACTTGTAATATTCAACCATATAATAGCAGCAATTGTGCATTGTAGTTATTCTCATGTGAAACAAATTGTATACTGTTTCCTAGGTGATGGAGCAGATGAAGAAAGAGTTGCGTCATAAGATGGAGAAAGAAATAACAGATCTTCAAGAGAACATGAATCGAGATGAGGATGCTGCTTATTTCAGACAACTAGAAGCAGACAGGATGAGACAAGATCTACAATTTGCAACATATAAAACAGCATACTAGGGTGTTCTGTATACTGCCCTCACCTCCCAGAAACTGAGATCAGTGGTTTTGTGTGCACAAAATAGATCTTTCATAACATGACGGAGTCAAAATTGTGTGGACATTGTGTTAATATATATTTGAATTGAATGAATTAAATAAAATGCATGCTTTTCACTGAAATTGTTGACACAGGTTTGTCCTGGATCAGTTGCCGTGACTAGTCACCATCTTGTTTTGCAAAAGTACAACTTCATGTTTTATGAAAAAACATCCACCCTAATGAATGAAAGGATAAGGTAACCCAAAATCTTGGTCTGTTTCCAAAGTAAAGACTAATTTTATGGATGCAATTTTTACCAGATTTCACACCAACTGTACTATTTTTTTTTATACACATTAATTTTATACAAGTTAAAAACGGAATGTATTCTTCAACTGGAAATTTACTATGTTTGGCTATCTAACTTGTGAAATCCAGACACCTATGTACAGCAACTTTACAAGAATACCCATTGTACTGTTTGTTTGTTTTAAATCAAAACTATTTTTGATTGTGAAATCTTTTGATAGCTTCATTTAATTTATTTTTAAAGATTTACAAAAAAAAATACTGATTATATGATATTACATTTTATTGATAAATTGTAGACAGCTTTATAATAAGAATGAAATGTGTTCACAATAAATATAATAGATAAATAAAATACATTTACGAAATTAAAACCTGATAGTGGTTTTAGTATCAATATAGAATAGCAGTATATTGATCTCTGAAAAAAAAACAATAGGGAATCTTTAAGATCAGGCTTGAAAAGAAAACATAGCTGTGTTTACTTAACGTGCGATGGTCATCACTTGATGTGTTCAATATGGGTCCCATGATTTGTTTACATGGTTTGTATACACAAAATTTAAACACTTTTTTAGCTCCGCTGTCGACTTTGTCGAGCGGAGCTTATCATATGAGTGATTGTCCGTTGTCGTCGTCGTCCGTCGTCGTCGTCCGTCATCCGTGTCAATGTTTTACTTTTTCGACTTCTTCTTGAAAACTACAAGCCTAAATGCTTTGATACTTGGTGTATATGTACCTTGGGTAGACCTCTCTTAGGTTTGTTCATTTCATGTTGATATCTTTAATTCTCTAATTTTGG